CTGGCCTCGAGAGGTTCTTGTCTGGGTTGTCTGAAGTAATGCACCTTCGAAAAGCCTTTTAATAGGTGTTCGTAGGCTGCTGAGGGTTTTTTTCGTTTTGAATTCTGATTCAGTAACTGCTGTATAAAGGAGCCCAGTTTTGTTAATTCCTTGGCAAATCCTTGTTTTCAGACATAATTTATATGCTTATATGGCACATATGATCCTTAATTTTCAAGTCTGAGAACTTTATGCTTCATGTGGTAAAAGTGGTGGTAGAAGTGGTACTTTACATGCATTTAAGTACAGCTCCATCTTTTGAAAAAAATATCTTATGCTAGGCACTAAAATAAACACTTGAATAGCTGGATCCTTCTTTCAGAATAGTTTGGCGTTAATCTGCTTTCAGACTTCTAAATGGATTTCATCATCGCAGCTCACAAAATGTGGGCTCTCTGGATCTGAGCTACTCTCCCAGTCCTAATTATGTAGCCACCTCAGAGTTATTTTAGTCCTCCCAAAAGCTATAGTAATCCAAAACCTGTGTGAAATCATCATATCCCAATTGGCCTTCTTGGTAATTGAGGATATTGTGGTCTCAGGCAGGTCCAGCTTGTGCAGCTTGCACTTTTCTTGCCTTTATTTGGATTTTTTACTGGTGTAGCTTCAGTGGTTGTGGAAAGCTAAATCCCAGCTGTGTGTTTAATCTTTGGTTTTGATTAAAATTAGCAAATCCTTAACAAAGAAGAAAAAGCAGCTCATTACAGGAGATTTGGAAAATAAATATAATTGAAAAACAGCTTTCTGATCACTCATCAGTAGTCTTTATGCATTTTGTAGACGCATTTTTGACTCTGGCACAAGTAAACAAGTGTAAAAAGCCTTTCCCTGAGACCATAACTTAAATAATACTTTAATTTAGGTTAGAAAGGATTTCTGGAAGTCATCTAGTCTAGCTTTGTGCTCAGAGCAGGTCCCACTCAGAACTGACTGAGGTTGCTGAGCAAGTTTTCCAGTTGGATTCAAACAGTTTCTGCTGATGGAGACTTCCCAGTCTCCCAACTGGTTCAGCACATAAACACTTGCACCAGGAAAGTGTTTCCCCTTAGATCCAGCTGCAGTTTCACCTCTTGCATTTTGTGGTTGTCCTTTCACTGTGCTCTTCTGAGGGGAATCTGTTGCTGTCTTCTGTGTAATAACCCCCAAAACAGTGAAGGACAGCGCTTTAGATTCCCTCTCCATAGCCCTTCTCTGCCTTTTCCCTCTGCCCCGCTCACCCCGTTATCTCAAATATACTATTTTTTTCAGTTCTTGCACTGAAATGGACATCTTCCAAGCAGTTACTCTGGATTCAGCAATCAGTCTGTCTGATGTGAATAAAACACAGTTAAAGCAAAATTTACACTTTACTAGTTTGGTCCAAAGTATCTTTTTATCAGTGCCATCCTTTTCACTTTTTTCAACTGTTGTTTCCAGTATATGAATCATGTATTTTTTTATCTGTTATCTGACAACTTAATCTTAGTTCTAGACTGGTTTGGTGAGAGAAGGGCTGTGTTTGAGCAAGATTTCCTGATTTGCAGGGCTTGTCTCCTTTGTGTACACCAAAACTGAGCAAAAAGTCTTTAGAACTGTGTGTGTGTACATGATTTAAAGGATTTTTAAAAATCCGTAAGTGCCATGCATCTAAGAACTGTTAGTGGCAACAAAGCCGATTTGTCTGGCCTAGTTAAGCCTCCAGCAACCTGTCTCAAAATTCTTCTAAGCCACAGTTTAGAAATACAGTGTTTTCAGGAATTGTATCATTTCAACTGCTAATCTAGCTGGTAACCTCAAGTATTCTTTTCAACTGGTAGTTTTTTCTACCCTTCTTTTGTTGTTATTTATTAACCAAAACATCTCTGCTGGTTTTGTTTTGGGTGGGGGAGAGAGGAGGTGTCATTCGGCTTTCACAAAGGAATTGTCTATTTCAAGTGTTATTTGAAACTGGGAGGACAGGCTGAGGAAAAGTGAATAGGTAAGGTAGTGATCTTGCAATTATGGCAAGTTTCTTATTGATGGAAAATGTTACCTACAGTGGTATTTTCCCAGTAGAAATTGATTACATTTAATTTCTTTCTTCTTACATAGGAATGAGCTTTCAGTAGACAAGACTAAAAAGAAGAAAAGAAGAGAACTGACTGAGGAACAGAAGCAAGAAATTAAAGATGCCTTTGACTTGTTTGATACAGACAAAGATAGAGCAATAAATTATCATGAATTAAAGGTAAAAGTTTTTTTTTTCTTTCATTTAAACAATTTTATGGCAGCTAATATATACCTATTTCTTAGTGAGTTTTTAAGATGTATCTTTTAAAAATGCTCCATGTTCAAGACCTCTCGCTGGGTTAAAGTGGCGAGGATATTTGGGCTGGGGTGAAGGAAATACTGGATTGGTGTAAGGATTAGCTTTTCTTCCTACACAATATACTTGACACAGTAACAGAATTGCTGTAGCATCCTGTATAACACTGGCCTGAATGCTCCCCAGGGTTTATCTTGGACAGATGAGTAAGTGGGAAAAGCTCTTGTAAAGCTGTTTGGCCTTTTTTAAAGGTGCTGTGTAATCTAAAGCTTAATGTTGTAAAAATCCACAGATTTCAGAGCCTTAGGTAAAAGATATAAATAAAATTTCTAAAACTACAAGCCAGGGCTTACCCACCTGCATTTTTCAACAGCCTATGGACTGTAGGAATGAGGTATCCTGTGCGTGTGGGAGGATCAGTAGTTTCCCTTCCCAACAAAGGCCTCTCCTGTTGATAGCTATCAGCAAGTGGATGTTAGGGTGGCAGTCTTTCCTAGTGAGTCCTCTAGGCTGGAAGTCTCTAGAAGTAGTACATGAAGTTTATTAAAGTCTCTTTAAATCTTCTGAGAGTTTTTATTCTAATTATGCCGCATCAGGAACAAAAAGTGGCTTTGTAGATGCCAATGTTTATTTCACATCTTGGGTGAGATACTTTTGGGAAGTAATAGCTAATCCAACCTTCTGCCTCCACATTCTGGCTTTACCACGTAACTCAAAGAAGGAGGAAAAAAAAAATTATTTTTAGTTCAATTACTTTTACAGGAATGACTTTGGTATAGTAATTCTCTTCTCTTTATTTCAGAGTTCAGGTATTTTTATCTTTGCTGGAAGCCACAGTGAGTAGGGTAGTACTGAAGACTGTTTCGAGACTGTTAATACACTTTTCCCAGTTACGGTTTGCTTTGAATTACCGGCTGTCCTGATTACTTGCAAAGCTGTTTCTTAGCTGACTAATTAAATATCGTGCCCCTGAAGAGGATACCGTGAAAGAACAGAAATACATAACGAACTGCCTCATCCTCTACAAAATCTGTAGCATAGATTTTTGAATGGCTACATCCAATAAGGTTGTGGTTTTCCACTTCTAGTACGAGTGTGTTCGTCAGTTTGAGGAAATTTAACTAGTGTGTGCTGAGGAATTGCCATCTCAGTTGAAATGGGGAACTAAAGGTCTGGTCCTAACCTAATGGAAAAATGAAAAATAAGCTGTTTTATGTTCACTGGAAAAGCAGCAAAGTCACTTGTAAGAGGACTTGTAAACCCATGAACATATACACACATAGTATGAATACTGAAAAAAACCTGAAAAACCTTCTTCAAATTGTTCTATCTTTGAAAAAGGGTCAGGACTTGAAATGTTTTTGAAAGGTGAGGAAAATAAACCTGGTTGTCCTAAGAAGCATTTGGTCTAGTCTGTAAAATCCCTGAAAATACAAAGGCTATTTTTTCACTGTAACTTTGTTCCATTTGCTAATAGTAGTTTTAGGTGATTTTTATATCCAAAGCTTTTTTCTTCTTGTTAATTTTATTATTGTTGCTAGACCACTGATGTGTACCTTCTCTCTCAGGCAAGATGGTTATTACTGACAATAAAAAGAAAACTGTTAAATCCGTATTTTTAATCTTCTTATGTGGTTGCACTTTCATTTTATTCCAAAAGGTGGCAATGAGAGCCTTGGGTTTTGATGTGAAAAAAGCTGATGTACTGAAAATACTTAAAGATTATGATCGAGAAGCAACAGGCAAGATCACCTTTGAAGATTTTAATGAAGTTGGTATGTGTTTGATTGTACACCTTTAGAGAAATTTAACCTACATTAGCGACTACAATTTGGAAGCAGTATTTTGTGTACTTTTTCAGTTTTCTAATACTATTAAGAAATACAAGTGGGAGGTTTCATATTTTTCTTAATAAAAATCAGTAGTGGAGGAAAATAAATCTTTGTATTCTGAATACTCAGTTTGATATGTAGAGATGAATGACAGTCACAGTAGAAGAGGAAATAGAATATACATAAGTCCTAATCTTTTTCAAACTACACAAAGGAATAAATGCTAACTTAAAATGTAGATATTCTTGTGGTGTTTATGGATTTTGTAAGATTCTCCTTCCTGCAGTAAAAAGTATTTGGCATTGAATTTCACTGGAAGGAGCATATACAGAGACAAACTGTAAACTGAATACAGGCCTCAGAGGTAACAAAGATAAGAGAAGCACCTTGAAGCACCTGTTAAACACTGTACTTCAAGGATTTTGAACTGTTGGGAAAAAGAGTGGAATTTCATTAGGCTGTTTCTTTCATCTGAAGATGCTGTATTGTGCACTTTGACATACTTTTGAGTATATAGTGATCAGTTTAAGTTTCTTTGAAGATACTTTGGTTGTTACACACAACTTACACTTTTGTATACAATTTGTGTTTAACAGAAAAATAAACTGTGTGGAATTTCTCCATCTATGGCTTTATATCTCAATTATTCCAATCCATGTGTTCAAGGGGTTTAGATATCTGTAAATTTTCTGAAAACAAAAAAGCAAAACAAACCAAACAACCCAACCAACAGTGTAGTACATGTGTATTTGCTCTGGGCTACAAATAATCAGCCTACTTAGTGTTTTATTGATTGAAACGTGGCAAATTTTAATGATTTAACAGATTAGCATTGGACAAAATGTGTTGTTAATTACAGATAATAATTTCTGTAGTTGTAGTCCAGGTCAGAACAAACTATGAATCAGAAAAGAACAAAAAATAAAGCCTATGAGGAAATACAGGTGATCAGTCCTGATTTAATAAAAAAAAATAGGAAAAAAACAGAAGTGAGAGTACGGATTTAATAGTAATAACAATAATACTATAATTACATCATTATGCTATATTATTATATAATTGAATATACTGTAGTTAGTGTGTAATTCTTTTTTTAATTCCAGATGTTCAGTCATTGTTCATTCTGCCCTGGCTATCAGTATGTCAATAAATGCTGTGAAAGCTAGGAAAATTCTTGTACAATGCACAATATATACTTGGGAGGCAGTTGAACCTGCCTCAAAACTTGGATTGGATTTGAGTGCTGCTGTGATGCAATATGACCTTGACACAGAACTGAACATGGAACCACTTCTAGCAGAAAGATCAGGGACTTTGAGAAAATTGGTTATAGAAGCTTTAGCTGTGAAGAGCTGATGAATAGAGCTAAGCGATTCTTGAGCCATCGATGTTTGTCTAATGTTATTTATGTTTTTAAATGTAGGAATGGCCCACCTGAAATGCAGAAAAATGAAATTACGTTTTGTCGTGTTTTGTGCAATCGTTACCTATAGCATTTAGAGACCTAGTGTCTATTGTTCTTCACTTAACATTGCCGTTGTCTTTCTACCACAAAAGGTAGAATGCTTCAAATGATGTAATGCTGCAGCGTAGTTGTTTTAAATGAAAATACTTAAATTTAGTGCAAATCTGAAGGATTTACGTAGCCATTTAAACTTCATTGTTGTAGTGAGCTCATATGAGCTTGAATCTAATTTTTTCCTGTCAAGTTCGCTAAGCCAGAATAGGCTGCAGACAGCAGCAGATGCTAAGTGGTTCTCTCTGCATAAACGGGGTTGATGTGTTTTTAATGGCTTGATGAAAGTCATAAATAGCAGGCCCTGTAATACAAGAGTAGCAGGTACAAAGATGTGAAGATATTTACAGTTGTTTCCAGAAATGTCTGAAATAATTACTAGAAAAATATTTTCTGTGACAAGTCTTTTTTCTGTTACAGAAGCTGACAAATGGTTCTGATAAAAGGAATAATAAAGACTGATGAATCCTTTCAGAATTAACATCTTGCAGTTCATAGCAGTGTCCTTTTCATAACCCCTGGGCTTAAGAGTTTTTTAGATATTCTTGGTAGTGGGGTTTTTTTGTGTGTGTTTTTATATCTAAAAGAGAGGTTTCATGTGAATGTTTTTTTCATTACTTAGTGTTCCAGTGTTCTCCAAGTACAAATTCTATGCTGATCAAAGCATATAAAATAATTAAAAAAATATTACGTGTCTGTGTCTGTCAAAGCTGATGTTTTTTTCTGAGAGGTAAGTTTGGAGCAGAGTAGGCATGTGTATGCTCATAATTCCCGTTGAAAAGTGTGTTGAAAGCATGTAGCTTTCCACTGCAACAGATATGTCCCAAAGAGAAACTTAGCTTGGGAAAAGAGCAATGAGAGAAGTCAGATAACAGCCAAACAAACATGTGTACTGACTTGAGATATAATGAAAGAACAAGTGAAATCAGAAGTATATGTTCTTTATATTGCCCCAGCCTGCTATGGTCATTCTGGGTTCACCCTTCAGAATTATAGTCTGACTTAAATATCCTTCTTACAGTGACAGACTGGATATTGGACAGAGACCCACAAGAAGAAATACTCAAGGCATTCAAATTGTTCGATGATGATGACTCTGGTAAAATAAGCCTGAGAAACCTGCGCCGGGTTGCTAGAGAACTTGGTGAAAATATGTCTGATGAAGAACTGCGGGCTATGATTGAAGAATTTGATAAGGACGGAGATGGAGAAAGTATGTCTTAGCAAACCAAAACCCATATAGTCTGTTCTTAATTTTTTTTCCCCTTTAAACGTGATTTTGTTGTGGAAATGTCCTCTTTGGTTTTCTTCTAGATAACTTTCAGCTCACACTTAAGAATTTCCATTTTTCATAAGCTACAAAGCTAGTTTTTGAGAACTACTAGTCCTGGAAACACATCTTGGAGTCTAAAAACCAAGTTGATTTCTCAAGTTGATTCACCTCTAGATTTTATTCAACCAATGTCTATTATAAGACTAGTGAAAGTGTAGTTGAAGGTAGAAGTAATTGAACTGGTACATGGGATATTCCATGTACCTATGTTACATTTTTATTTCCTTATAAATCAGCAAAAGGATTAAAGTGTTAAGGAAAACTTTTGATCACCTAGTTAGTATTTTTGGAGGGATGACGTGTCACTGTTGCGGTTTCAGCACATTAGTCACATATGGAGTATTAAGCTATTGAGGCACGTTGGATGTACCCTTACCCTAATAAGTCTATGCAGGATCAACTTGGGTCCTTAGTGTGCTGAAGAACATGTCGTGAAAAATGACTCTGAGCAATTCACAAGGTCCATACAGAGTGGGCTACAAAAGGGATTTGCTAACCAGATAGTGAACTATCAAATCCACTTTGATACTATGCTTACTAAGTCCTTGTGTGCACTGGAACTTAGGGGTTTTTTTCATTAACTTGAAAAGTTTACACCAGAAACTTTAATGTCTGAATTTCAGGGACACTCACTTGAGACCATGTACATAAACACTGCATTTTTAACAGTCATCGAAACTTTCTGAGTTTGAGTGGTGACTCACGACTGAGATTTCACTAGCAGTTTATCAATTTTTCCAGTTACAATAGTATTTGTATTTGTGAGCCGCTGCATCTGTTGAACTCAAAACTCTCACTGTTAATGAAAAAAAATTGTGGTGTTGTCAGGCTTGTGACAGATGCTCCTCCCCTCTGTGCTGTTTGAGATAGATGCTATTCCATACTTGGGAATACAATTACTCAAGTACTGAAACAACCCCTTTCCTTTCAAGAGGAAGAGCAGAACATTTTAAACATGGTCAGTGGTATGGAAATGCAACCCTTTTGTTCCATTGCAGTGGTGTAAATAGGAGACAGAGATAGTGAAAGGTCAGTGATGCAACTGCCAGAAGAGTGCTACTGATGACTGTTATTACTAAAGTAAGTGTTGGAAAAGTGTGTGATTTCTTTCCTTTTGGAGCTGTTGTTTTCTGATATCTTTCTGTGGTCTGAGGCCATGGTTCCTTTATAAATCCATATTGAATAATCCTGATGCTCCTCCACACTCCCAGCTATGTCTTCCCACATTTTTCTTGCACTGGCAGTATCTGATCCCACAGGTGAGATGTTTAAGGGAGCTAAGCCAGGAGAAAACTATTAATTTAAGTTTTGAAGTGTTACTTTTCTTGCTGTGTAGATCTATGGACTGCCTCACTGCTTGATCATTTTTTTAAGTGTAGGTGTAGAGGTGAGTGTGAGTAGAAGCCATCTGCAAGCACATTTTGTTCTGCCACTGTCCTGGAGCTGCCAGCAGATGTCAGAATCATGGATCAAGGATGGGTTGTTTTGTCATTTGGCTATTTGGTCACTACAAGTTCAGTGTTGACTATTTGCTCCTCTGAGGAAGGTTACTGAGTCATCGTTATTTTGGGTCAGTGCTACATTTTTTTGGTTCCAATTGATCAGCTAAGAGTGGGTGGCTCTGTTTCCTCTTATTCATTCATCCATTTATTCTCTTTGTTAGAGCAGTCAAGCATGAGATCGAATATGGAAGATTGACAGCTTAATGTTTGTATATGGTGCTGTTTATCCTTAAGGTTTCCTGTGTTTTCTGTTCTTTAAAGAAAACTGGTGCTGTTTCTAGCTTTTTAAGATTCATTCTGAAAAAGTAAATAATCCTGTGAATCACTGTTGTATTTAGTTTCAAACATCTGGGTCACACAGCAAAATCTTGCTGTCATCTAATTCTCCTTTTCCTGCCCCAAAAAATAATAACCTGAAACTGTTAGTTGGTAGCGTTTTTAATTGATACTTCAAATACAGGAATAGTACCACTTGTGATTTAGCACCCTTCTTATTTTTGAGAGATTGTTTTACTCATAGCAAAGTAAGGTCTGTTGTGTGATACCCAGGCTATGTGAACCTTTGTTTCCAGCAAAACCAGTGAGCTGTACTGGTATGCTGTACCCGAGTTTCTGTAGAAGAAAACATTTTTGACATGATTCTGTCTGCCTTAAAAAGGTAAATAGTCTTGTTTTCATATTCCAGGTCTTAGGAATGACTTCTGTTTTGGAATATGACTAATTTTAGAAACTCCATGCTGTCAGTTCATGCACATTTTGTCACCCTGTGTGGATGCATCTGCAGGAAACGTGATCCAGTCTTAGGTCTCAGATTTTGGCACAGAATTAGAAAAAAAACCAAACAACCCTCCACTGAAATAACACGCTGCTTTAACTCTCCACAGTCCAAGTCAGTATTTTCCCCGTATTAGCTGTGATCTTAGTTCACTCTTTTATGATCATTTATGTCAAGAAATTGAGGGAAATCTGATGCTAGGAAAGACCATGATTGCTTCTGGTTTCATTGTGCTTAACTTGTGAATAGATCCTAAGTCTGAAGATGACTAAGTGGGGTTAACTGAGTTACTGGGAATTGTGACAAGGCTTCTCTTTGCAGTTTGAGTGTTGCAAAATTTGTCATTGTAATACTACATTTTCACTTTGCTGTAACGTTTAACAAAGATGTTTTGAAACAGCATACTTAGGGCAGGATGTTTGTATTTGTGCTGTTACTGTGTGTGCTATATGGTGGACTTCTATTTCAGAGTATAGGGACCTAAGCTACACTAAATCTACTTGTTTCATATTTTTTTTAAATCTGTTGCTGTAGGGCAGATTTAGGTTTATATTTTTATTCTGAAACATAGCTGAATTTGTTTAATTTCATTCTATCTGTAAATGTAGCTCCTACTTTGCAGTGCTTTCTTTAGGAATAGCTTGGGCACTTTGGCTGGGAGAGATAATTGTCAGGGAGAACTCTTCATACGTGTCTGGTCTTTCCCATACCACTGACTTACTCTAATCATTCACCACTACAGTAATTAGTTGCAGAGTGAACATGTTCACTGGTTAACTCTTTTACAGGGGCTCTGTTTTAACATATGAGTAAGGTCAATAGCTCAGGTATAAGCGCAGCAAAATAATTAATGACTGCTAATTAATTTATTATTATGAATTAATTTCTTCAAGTACATTTGTGTAAAAAATTCCTGTTAATTATAAATGAAGAATGAAGAAGGTTCAGATGCGGCAAAGCTTGTCAAAAGTCCATTTTAATTCTAGCTAATTTACGGAATCATTAGTAAATGATCTTAAAATTCACTGTGTTTAGCAAGTGTTGCAGGTTTGAGAAAGTGAGAAATACCATGGGGTTTTTTTGGGGGGAGTGTTGGATGTAAATGTCTAAAGCATGATTTTAAGAATAAAACCCAATTTGATTGTAACTGGAGCTGCAGCATTGTTGCTTGAGAGGCACTTAATAAAATTTATCTATATTTTTTAACATTTTCATAAATAGTAAAAAAAAAATCAAAGTATAATAAAAGATTATGTTTTTGCATAGCCATATTTTACATACTTTTCTCAGGGTTTTTAATATCTTGTTTTACATTTAGAATATTTTTACTTTTCTAATTGGGAATAATAGTTAAACATGAGAGAGATTCTGGCTTAAGTGTTCTACGTAATTAAGCTTGCATTCCGACTTGACCTTTATGTGAAAAAAAAAAAAAGTGCAAAATCTCTGTTCTGGAAGCAAAAAATCCAGACATACAAATGCTGATTAGTAATGGATCAGACACAACGAATAGTAACTGGGGAGCCTTTAAGTGAAAAGTGTAATACAGATGTACATTATTTTCTTTTATGGTTCGTGGATGTTTTCTGTTGGTCTAATGATTTTCTCTTTTTCTACAGTCAATCAAGAGGAGTTCATTGCTATTATGACTGGAGATATTTAGCATCATAAGAAAAGAAGCGAACTGAGCACGAAAAGGAGGAATCATTGACAGCTTCCATTACAATGTTGTGTACTTCCTTTCATTTCTGTAGCTGAAGCAATGCAGAAAATTACTTTCCTCATAGGACCAAAGTAAAGACAGCTTATATGCACTGATAGTTCAGTATGTTGTACCACTAGATATTATCACTGGAATAATTGGTATATCATTTTAGAACAAGTAAGTTATGCTGCATTTCGGAATGTTTTGAGTACTCATTTGTACAATAGCTTTGTATAGGATTTTTAAATTGTATCATATTATAGGAACCTTTTGAGGTTGACTTTGTGTTAGCATTAGCTGTGGCCTTAGTTTTGATACATGAGGTTTGACAAACTTCCATTTTAATAAAATATTCTTTACTATTGCTACTTGAAAGTCTTATTTTTGCAGTTTGATCTGAACTGGACTATAATGTAAAATACTTCAGGGAGAAGAATTGTTTTCATCTGTAGGCTTGTAGTTCCACTGTTCTAGATGAGTGCTAACATTGAATGAGCAAGCGTTTGCATCCTCAAGGAAGCAATTTATTAACTCTGTATTACCCCTGTGTGATAGCAAAGAGCAGACAACTATGCATGGTGATAAACTGTATCGAAAGTGTGCTTAAATCATCCAGATGCCAGCCAGCAGCTCTCTCTCCAGTATCTACAGCTCTGATCGCTGTGGAGGCAATGGCAGCTGTTTATGAGAAGATGCTCCTTCTGCAGTATCTACTCAGAAGAAAAGCATCACAGGGAATGAGCTGCTGAAGTAGTTGAAGAAACTGGATGCATTTTGCCAGGAGTCTTCCAGAAGAGTTCCTGTGGGTTGATTTTTCAGTTTTCCTGTGTATTGTAGTTTCTTCTTTTTAAATCTTGCTCTTCTTATATATCAAAAAATGTAACTTTAAATCTTGGCTAATCCTGTCTTCATCTTTGTCAGAAAAGAAGCTGCTTTTTAACTGTGAGTAGTTCTGGTGTTACGAACAGGTTTACCCTGCATGAACAATCAGACCTTGGAATTTATTGGAGACAGAAGTTAAAGTCATCAAAGTTAATAGATTTTTTCATATTATTTCTTAGGTGTGTATTGTAACATTTTTATCTGTGAAATGCAGTGCAACTCTGTTAAGCCATCGATCTGTCTGTTCGTACAGAAAGTTCTAGCAATTCAAAATGACTGGTGGTGGCTCTGTATAACTTGCCAAGTATTCTGAGCAGACACCTCATGGAGAAACTCAGTGGGGTATGTGGCCATCGGCTGGGGGTTCCATGCTGGATCACTCATTTAGAGATCCTTTGAACAACATGTGCTAGGAAAGGACATTGTAATGTCCTGTTGAGATATTTTCATTGTTATTTTTTTTCCAAATTAATTCTGAAAATATGATAGGGGAAAAATGGCAGGGATAAAATTAATATGGTATTTGTGGAAGTGAAGAAGTAGTTGGTATTTGCCAGAAATTTCCAGTCTTCTTAATGTTCAGTTAAGCACATTTGAATAACACTTCCTCTGCTATTTCAGAGGTGGATTTTAGAAGCAGGTTCTTGCCCAAAAAGTAAACAGCATGAAATTTTTGTAGGATGAAGATTGGTGTTTATTAGGAAAAATTCTTCTATATATAGTATGGACATAGTTTATTTCTTTTATATTAATTTCAGTATAATAGCTGGGAAAGGAGAAAAATAAGAGTTGAAGGATTCTACCATGCAAGAGAAAATACTGCATAGGAATAAACACAGCAAACTTCTTACAAGTCAAGTAAAATGCTTTAGAATCCGATAGCAAAAAGCCAACATAAAATGCAAAACTTTTAAACAGCATTTTGCAGTCTTAGCAGATTTGTTTGGGAGGTGAACGTTTAGGGGAAAGGATTCCAGGTTTGAGACTGAGCCTATGAACTGCTTTTAACACTTAACAAGTGTTTTCTAGGAAGAGTATGGGTATTGTCCAGTTCAGTAGTTTCTGGCTCTGCTTTTAATGTCTTATGCAAACTGTTTATTTTTATTTTCTGCAGACAGTGAAAGTCCGTTAGGAATCATAAAATAATTTTTTCCCAGAGAATCGTGCCCTTACTCTGGATGTGCCAGTTTTCCCATAGTAAGTGGCACAGAAGGAAAGAGAAACAGAGTAGCATTTAGTGATACTGTCTCAATGTCCGGCTTTGCTTTTTCTCTGCATTTCATAGTTTGGGAGATGTTTGTATTCCAAACCCAGGCATGTTTTGTACTGCTGACTGCTGAACTTACTGCTCTTTTTTGTACTGAGGATGTTGCAGTCTCTGTTCACCTTCCTTGATGCTCATCGACAGGAATTGTGATGGATTGGAGTCCGCAGCTTGGTAAGATCCAAGCTCTGAATGCCCAACTGTCTGCTTGGCCTCAGCATCAACACATACATCAGGTCTGTATGTTCTGTGGGGCTCACACCTGTCCTGGTGCTTTTTGGTACTTCCCTTGGTATATCATAGGATGCACATTCCCAGTTTTTGTCTTTTCATTCTGTGTCTGATACTGGAGAAGGAAGAGAGTCATTTGATGGCACATTTAAATCTTGCCTATTGTAAGGTAATATCAAGGTTCAGC